TAGAATCGACTCTCGATGCCTACAATCTTGCCATTGGCCTTCACATAGAAGTCATAGTCGCAGTGGAAGGACCACCGTTTGCCCGTGGTATTCATGATGGACTCCAGCGACTGCACAAATCTCACTGGACGATTCAGCTTATGGGCCGCGACCGCAGCAGCCGTTGCAGCCATATTGCAACGCGTCGCCTTGCCCCCGTACCCACCGCCGATGCGACGAGTCTTCACCTGCACCTCATTGGACCTCAGCTGCAGGACATTCGCGATTACATCCTGCGATAGATCCATCCACTGCGTGGCCACGTAGACCTGAAGGCCACCCTCAAAAGGCACTACCACCGTCGAATGTGGCTCCATGAAGTAGTGGTACTGCAGTCCCAAGTCCAACTTTCCACTGCCCTTGATATCGTGGGCAACATTCAGGTGCAGCTTGTCGTGCATTGATTTGACAGGGTGAAGAATGCGATCTCCAGATGCAGCAGAGTCCAGCACATGCTTCATGCTGGGCAGCACCTCCTTGGCACCGCCCTCATAGCTGAGCTCAACAAGCTCGGCGGCACGCTGAGCCAGGGCATTCGATGTTGCCAGCACCATGCCGATGGGCTGGTGATAGAACTTGATTTCGCCCGTGGCGAAGAGCTGCTCCTCCTGCGGGAAAAAGAAGTCATCTGTTGTCTTGGGCCGCAGCGAATTGGGTCCAGGAATGTCCTTGGCATCCAAGTAGGCCACCACGCCAGGCAACGCCAAAGCAGCCGACGTGTCCACCTTGCTAACCACAGCTCCAACACGCTTTGCCGTCACAAAGGCCGCCCACAGCTGATTGTGCTGCGTGGGTAGATCATTGACGTAGGTCGCCTCGCCCGAGCACTGAATGAGTCCTTCGTGCTTTTCGGTGGGCTTCGTCACTGGATAATGTTGCTCGAAGGTCTCGAAGCTCTGCTGTCCCTTAGACACGGGTCGCTGCAACAAGGACCCTCCAGTTACCTGCCGACTACCCAGAGTCTGTTGACGCTGAGCAGCGGCCTTCAGCACAAACTTGTACAGCAGTCCACAGGCCAACTTGCGGCGATAGTCTGGCGATGCGTCCGGCAGCACCTCATCGGGTTGCAGCAGCGTCGACAGCTTGTCGAATACCTGCTCCAGCAATGCATTGTCAAAGG